CAAGAAAATAGTTCACCTTGTGCAACTAATGGTCCTCTGGCATTGCACTAGGGTAACCTCAAAGCAGATTTGAGTACTTCAGTGAGTGGACTTGGATGAGTACACAAGGACAGGAGATTCATATTTAAAACAAACAAAAAAAAGGAATAGCTCTTATCTCATGGGGAGAAAGCTGTTATATAGGAGAAAGAGGAGAATGAAAATCACTTTAAATATCAGTGTTTTGTAGCACTTCTCTAAATTTTGAAAGTAGAAAACACACATTGCCAAATTCGGGTAAGTTGGGGTTTTTTTCAGCTTTGGAGTAAGGAGTGTTAACTCTCACCCTTCCTCATTTTCTGACATGCTTTAGCATTCATTGTGAATGTGGGAAAGGAAATGATTTGACCTATTGAAAAGAAAGAAAAGGTAACCATGAAGGTTGTGTCTGGAGAGAGATCACTTCTCCATATTCAATATCAATATTATGGGGCCTTGGTCCAAGTTGTCAGCACCAAACCTAAAAAATACCAGTGTGGTTTATGGTGAAATGACACAAGGAAAAAGTATGCTTTGTACAGTCTTATAGAACCTTTTTTTTTAGTGCAGTGAAAAGCAGAAAAAGGTCCATCTAAAAATACAAGATCATTTGCAAATGGATTAAGAAAGAAGGATGTCACACAGACCTGCTCAAGCAGGTCCAGAGGAGGCCACAAAGATGCTCAGGGGGCTGGAGCACCCCCCTGTAAGGACAGGCTGAGAGAGTTGGGGGTGTTCAGCTGGAGAAGAGAAGGCTCTGGGGAGAACTTAGAGCGGCCTCTCAGTACTTAAAGGGGCTACAGGAAAGGGGGGAGGGACTCTATCAGGGGGTATAGGGATAGGATGAGGGGTAACACCTTTAAACTGAGAGAGGGGAGATTTAGATTAGGTGTAAGGAATAAATTCTTCCCTGTGAGGTGGTGAGGCCCTGGCACAGGTTGCCCAGAGCAGCTGTGGCTGCCCCCTCCCTGGAAGGGTTCAAGGCCAGGTTGGACGGGGCTTTGGGCAACCTGGGCTGGTGGAAGGTGTCCCTGCCCAGGGCAGGGGGTGGGACTGGATGAGCTTTAAGGTCCCTTCCAACCCAAACCACTCTGTGGTTCTAGGAAATTTGTAACAATATGCATAACACTTCCAAAATTGAATGAATTTAGAAAGAAAAAGAACTTGATAAAAGCGTCATTTTAAGGACACCTCAAGGGCTAATTGTATCACATTGCAACCAGAAGTTTCTTAAGAGCTGTCTATTGAACACTTTCACTGACAAGTTATTGTTTTCATAAAATACCATGTCCACCCTGCACACTGTTTATACTGGACAGCACAGTACACTGAAAAGATGTTATTCTCAATCCACAATAATTTAAAAATTATGTGGGAGTTAAATCACTTAATTGTTAAGAGTTCAGTGTGGAAAAACTTTCGAATAAAGAAAACCAAAAAATTTTTTTTTTTTTTTTTTTTTTTTTTTTTTTTTTTTTTTTTTTCTGGCTCATACTGATACTATTTTCATTACTGAGAGTATGGTAATACATTTAATGAGAATTTGTACCATTTAGAAGTACCCATCTAACTGCACTGGTGCTAAGAGAAGTGAGCAAACACACCACTAGGCAGGACTGCGTTATCTGGATACAGAAATTTAGGGCGGATCCCAGATATTTTCACAGAGAATTCTGTGCATGTTGTTGGGTTGGTTTGTTGTTTTTTTTTTAATTTACAGGACACTGCTCGTTGCATTGGGAACGTCAGTGGATTTCTGAGAGTGGTACAATGTTTGCGGTACTGCTCATTACCATTGCTGACACTCTCCGAGACACACATGTCACAAGGAGACAAGGAAACTGCGTCATCAAGTGCAGCTTCACATTGAATGCCTTCTTCAACAGAAGCTGAAAAACACCGCACACTATTCAAGATGCTGATTAAAAAAAGAAACCAAACAGTTAAGGTCTGTCTGATTAATTGATCTACATAGCTAATTTGATAAGCACTCAGTCTGTTTGCTGTGCCTCCTTCATTGGCTTGATCTACTTTTTAAATTAATCTAATTATGAACACGTGCAATCAAAAGCCCCATCTCTGCAGAAGTTATATAACTTTTACTTATACCCAGCATTTTTTAAAAGGTCAATTAAAAACATCTTGCCACAAAACACATTTCTGGGATACAAGGCGGGCAAACAACAAGGGTCGTATTCAGTAAATATAGGAACCACTCCCTGCATTCTCCAGTGTTTCATTCCCACTCTATTCAGTAATATAAACTGCATTCTTCAGGAGAATTCTAATAAATATTACATTACAGCAGACAAAAGATGACAAATGATTCAAAGTAATTGCAATCCCCAAACCACATTAATCAGATAAGACATACATCAGAATGAGAATAATAATGCCAGGTTCAATTTACAGTACCATGGGTATCTTTGCACTTTACAAAGAAAGCTCAGTATTTTATACCATATTAGATGCATGTAAACTGATAGAACTATTCTGACCAAAAAAAAGTTCAGCATCATATATAGTGGACATATTTTAGATTATAAAAGATTAACTATGTATTTATGAGTCTAGATGTATGACTTACCCTTGATTCACAACTGATAAGTAATCCATTCATATTTTCACCAGTTCTTCACAGAGGACAGAATTCTTTGCAAATATGGTACAAATACAGAAATTGGACTGCAGTAATTCTGAAAGTATGAACTCTAACTATTTTCTTTTTTAAAACTAGTTGTATTAGTAGCTCTAATTGATTTCTCTGATTACTATTTCATCCTAATTTTTTCTTATGAATATAAATTAAAAACAAAAGAAATCACCAAACAATTTTATCTGACTATGCAGATTGTTTGACACTAGATATGTAATTCCATTTCAAAGTATTTTTTTGCGCAGAACTTTCAATACTCTGCTTTAAGAATAACTTTCTCCCTCTCAAAACCAATAAAGAAAGATTGGACAGCATAAAATGAATTTTTCCATCAAAATCAGGAAAGTTATTGTTCAGTTCATCTGAGGTTTTGTACTAGCCTTGATAAAATGTGTTTTAAAAAATTAAGACTGAAAATAATACTGTCAGACTTGCCTAACTCATAAAAACAATTTACATTAGTAAAAAATAACTCTAAGCCCTTGAGATTACAACGGTTTCTTGTATTTGTTGTAAAAAATATTTTAGCTAAGCAATGCCAAGCTTGGGGCCTTATGCAATAATTGTGTAAAGAAAAATTATGATCCCTTGCTATAGAGAGCATCTACAAAACTTGCAGTGGATTAGTGCTAGATGGACTCTAAAATGAAAGACACTTTTATCATACCTCAGAGTACAAAATATTGGTCTGATATTTTAAAACTGATAATATAAAAATGTGAAATTAGTCATAGAGGGCTAAGAATTATTTTGAATTATTCCACATTATTCTGGGGCTCCCAGATGAATTACATTGGAAGTCAGTGCTAAGATCCTCACAGGCTTTCCAAACCTTCAGCAAGCACCAGCAAAAAAGTAGAACTGTTCCAAATATCACTACATTGAACAGCAGACTATGGAAAAAACTCATGCATGACATGGAAAAGTTGCTAGAATGAGGGAAAAGTGCATAAAACAAACCAAAAACTGGAAATACAGAAACTTTGGCACTAAAAGACATGACAGATGTTAAGCTTTTCTTCTTGTTTTAACTTGTATACCAGAGTGATGAGTAATTAAATGTAATATGCAACTGAGCGAGGGGTTGTACTTGGTCACAATCTGCAAAGATGCACATAAACCTTGACTGTTGGCTGCTCAAGACCCTGCAAGCCAAACTGCTCCCATGGGTAAGTGTGTTTATTAAGAATGAATATGCTAGGATTAAACTTTTTTATTCATGAAGCAGCAGTACATTTCTGAATGTGACTGGACTCTCAGAAATACCAAGAAGCAGCTTAACTGAACGTGTCTATTGATTACCTTGACAGTTTAATAAGGCAGATTTTCAATGGCTGACTGAACTTAAGCGACCTAGAGAAGAAGATTAAAAGACTGTGTCCCTTAAAGCCTTGGCCACTCCTCTGACATCTCTAATCCCATCAACTAGGGAAAGTTGTTTATTAACTTCTGGTCTCAAAGGTAGAGGTAGCATAGACATCCTTTGGCAGGTAAGGGAGAACTTAGAAGGTAGAAGGAAAAAAATAAATACAAGGGATGAATATATGAGGATACAAGCTACTTCCAATAAAAAACAAGAGGAAAAATAATTAATTTTAAAATATGTATCAGCAAACCCAGAAATAAAAAAGGTGTTTTCTACTTAACGGCTCAAAAAAGAACAGAACATAGTTGGAAACTATTGGATAAATGTGAGGCTTAATTCCAAAAGTTGGTTTATTTTCATGTCATATCCATAATAAAAGTGGTAATTTGCTAATATTTGGAGGAGAAGGGGAAGAGAAGAAATGTGTGCTGCTTTGGAGGAACACAGGGGCTTATTTTGCCTATACAAAATGAGTTTATGAAGTATTTTTAACTGAGTTATTTTGAGAAGTGCCAAAGAGTTGGCAGCCATACAGAATTGCTTAGCATAGATAAAAAGCCTGAAGACATGGAGCCTAGACAAAATGGGATTCGCTGGACCCCAAGCTGGGCCTTTTGTGTTACTGTTTGCATCTTCTTGTCATCTGGAGACCGGTCATGAATTAGGATGACACTGCATTACTTAAACTACAAAAATATCCCCGTCCTGCACTGTCTGCAATTTTTAGCATAACCATTGAAACTCTGAGGCCATTATGAGATTCTTCATAGATTTTTAAAACCAATTTTGCACTGGATGTTGTACAAAGCTCAAAATTTGTCACTAATTCAGTACAACAGATAAAGACTAAAGTGTCATGTCAGTGTGTTGATGATCACTGCAAATGACAGCCTGACAAAATAACATAATATCCCCTGGAATGATAATGTGTACAACTTAACACAATGAAATAAGGCTTACCATGAACATGGCCCACAGCCTGATGCAATATTTGTGCCACAGCATGCAAGCCCTAATAAAAATGAAGAATAAATAGTTTCAAATTTGGAAATATAAGTTATGACTACATACAATGAATGTAAAATCAGAGAAAAAAAAAGCAGTCCAGCCATTTAAAAGCATCTGTTTCATTTAGATCCAAATGGGTTTATTGCATGATTAATACAATTAAACTTATCTCTTCCGTATTACTCTTTAATTGCAAACTTTAAAGTGAGTCTTTAGAAAAACATAACACACCTTCCAATATAACTGAAGCATGAAAAATTGACTAATTCAAAAAAAAATCAAAACAATACATATAAAAGCTATCACATTTGTTGCCATTTATAATTACTCTGTAGTAGTAATCTCAATTTTTCTTAGAACCAAATATTTTGAAAGTAAAAAGGTCTAGTAAATAAATATACAGATGAATCTGGGTATACAACAGTTCTACTCAGCTACTTTTGGAAGTCATGAAAACAAACATATCTTCCGAGACTTACATCAAGACAAACATCTAGATATCTCTTTGGTTCACAAATCTAACTATAGGATTGCTAAATTTTCAAAAACTAATCTATTTTAAAATCTTCTGGAGATGATTTTGAGTAAGCAGAGATACTGTGTATTACATTTGTCAAGACACAAACTGGTAAGCATACATCTTGTTAAACCTTACTTGTTCGTCTTACCACTAGTCAGACAATTGTTGCCCTGAATTGTGAGATTTAGGCAGGTACATAGCAATGACAGCCTTCTAAGAGTTTCAGAATAGATACGTTCAGTATCAATTTCTCTTTCAACTTTTCAGAGCACTGTTGGAACATAACCCAATGCAAACTGAATGTACATTATGCCGTTAACAGCCAAAAAGCAATTCTCTCAATCTATGAGTTTCACTGTGAACAGTGCATGCCTGTTCAGGTCAGAAATTAAAAGGACAATACAGCCTATTTGAGAGTCAAGGCAAAACTAGGTAGGTGACACATTGTAAATGAAATTGAAATCTGGCCAAGAAAAAGGGTAAAGTGCCATGGAATCTAATTACTACAAGTGATCAAAATATTTTCCTTTCATCCTATGCCAACAGATGTACTTGTAGTAGTTCCAAGTTAAACACCTTGCTCCACTACCCAGGGTACCAACATCATTTTTCCACATTTATTCCGGAGATTTCCCATTATAGAAATACATGGAAATGGCTGAAAACTAGAGTTCTGTCATTCTGAATTGCATGCACAATACTGCAGCTGAGCAAAAGCAGTCCTTCTCCATAAACTGGCAACACAATCCGTGCATCAGATATCATTCCAGGCAATTTGCAGGTAACTCCAAGAATAAAACTAACTGCAAACAGGGAGACGTATATTAGGGGAAGATAGCTAAACACAGTAGCTTTAAAGTACAGCAAGTCAAAACAACTTTACAGTAGAGATTATAATGATGCAAAGTCAAATGAGTAAGAAGGGGGACTCCCAGCTCAGGACTCGAAGCAGCACAGATGGAGTCACAGTGATGGGAATACTGAGCTCTCTTTTGTCTACACCACAGTTCCCAACACTTACTATTTGATGCTGAGGTTGCAAAAAGTGTTTTTCTGCCTAACAACACAGGTATGTCATTAATCCTCCTGCCCCTATTTGCCTCATCAGTAAAGTACTTCCATTCCTCTGAGACTGGTTTTGAAGATATTCAGAAGATAACATAAAAGTGCTCAAATACTTGGGTGATAAATTCAAATAAAGGTCTAATCAGTGTTCGCAATATTGCTTCTCTGACTCTATAAAGACACAACATTTTCAGACTTGGAAAGACAACAAAACCATAGACCAGGATTATAAAACTATAAATCCCAGAGTAATAAATGCTAGTTTTAAAATGCACTGTTGCTTTGATCAGGGATTACTTAAGGCTCCATCAGATCAATATCTCTTTATGCTTTCAACTGGCATTCCCAGAATTTTGGAAAATTACAGTTGTTAAAGGTACTGCATACTGCATTCCCTGTAAAGGAGTTTGATCTGAGAAATCCAGTCACTCATGAAAAAATTTAATTCATACAAAATTTACTGTTAAATCAAAACCTTTGTGCTTCATTTGTTTCCCTAAATAGCTTAAACCCTTGCTCGAGCAGAAATTCAGAAATGCCTGCAATCCTTCATTTGCTACAGTTGGATGAAAATATGAATAACCATACAGAAATTGATAATCAAAGAATTTGCTAGAGAGAAAAGTACTTCATTGATTTTTAAGACTGTCTTAGATGAGGGAAAGGTTTCATCTTCCCAAATCAAACTGAAGACTGAATTATAAAGAAATTGATGTGAGTTCCCATTTATTCAATGGCCTAAAGATCTGTAAGAGTCACAGAGGTGGCAATGGCAGGCTCTTCATCAACAAACCAGGTTCTTATGAGAAAGAAAACACATTCTGTTTGGGGCACAAGAGGAATTTGATTATTAGAGGATTCTCCTAAGGTGGGGTTGGGGGTAGAAAAGGTTCTTTTGTCCCTCTTTCAGTCAGCTCTGGGATGCTCACCTGTTGCTAAATATTTAACCACACTCACTCCCTCGCCTCCCCAATACTCGCTCTTTATATTTTGGGCTGCTTTACAATGGCTTTACAATGTTTACAGCAGTTACAATCTACTCCAGCCTACTCCACAAATTGTAATCCTACCAGGTGTTTCCACACAACCAGAATGCATCAATATTGCTTGCAAATGATTCAAGAGCAGAACTACAAAGGCTCCAAGTTTAATGAACTAATCTGAGGATGATTAAAGACTGGTTGTAGATACTCAGAGATAAATCAGTTGCAGACTTAGTGATCAAGCGAAACCTGTAAAATACTGCATGGTGCCTTCTCATAAGACTCAGCACGTGCTCTATGCATGGTTGTTCATCCACTGTACCACACCCAGCCCTTAATTCATCTCAAGGCAGTATTTTTTTTTTTTTTTTTTTTTTTTTCTGCTTGGTGGGGTCTTGTTTGTTTGTTTTGTTTTTTAAACACTGATGAATGCTCAAAACAAAGGCGGCCTGCAACTATTTTATTGTCTCTTAAACTCATTGGTTGCAGTTAAACACATTTTTTTAACTCAGTCTTAGAGATGATTTTGTACTGCTAAAATTGTATCATTTATCCAGTATTCTATGACAATTTAGGAATAGCATTCAATGGGTTTATTTTTAGTAAGCGCACCTCATTCACACATTTTGTAGCGCTGCATGGGGATCACCAATCTATATGCATGACTGCAGTGATAAGATCTGGCAACATTCTTTAATAACCGTTTAAACTGTTATAGTCGTGTGCTTCAAGCAACATACAATTATTCCAACACCTAAAAAGAGCTTTTTCCACTTGAAGTATTTTCCATTACTCAATATGTGCACCCTTGCCATGTGATAGTTAAGATTTTCCATTATTTCCTTTATTTGATTTATTCCTTTCCAGCCAATGGACAAATCATGTACACGTAGTTCACAGAAGACAGCTTCAACGCAATTTGCAAAAGCTACAGTGAGAGATTCTTATTTTGGTGCACAAATCCATACGATCAGGCTGAAAAATATGTTTTCCATCATTACAAATCTATATAAATATAGAGAATGATCTTTGTAAAGACAAAAATTTTAGCAAAATTAGAAAGATGACATCAGTATTTTGCATGATACCGAACAAAGCCAAAATTTGTACTGTAGCTTAGATCAAAGTTGCTTTGTATTTTTCAATTTACAACAAATCCCAGTAAGATATGTTCACTGCAGTGTCAGAGTTTCTTGCTACTTTATCTCTAAATGTCCTAGAATGCTGCTGCTATACAGTAACATCTCTTAAGATAAACAAAATAAATTGAATTTGTTAAAGTTATCATGGATGTCAATTTTGAATCAAGTATGATGCTTTTGCTAACTTAAAAGAAGGCAGAGCTTTGGGTGAAGCTGGGATAAATGAAACAGTGAGCTGCATTAGGACTGCCTCTGGGAGGAAAGGCATCCCGCTGGCCAGCGCTTTCACCCTGTGGAGAGGAAGAGACCTCAAAACCCCACTCCATCTGCCTCCTGCATCCCAGGTCAAAGGTTACTAACGTTTGAACACTGAATGAATGAAACTCCAGACCAGCTAAAGCAACATGCCATTTTTCTGAAGTGGACACTCAAGCCTATAGCATATACAGTATGAGGGCTGTGACATTAGCAAGAATTCCACAACAAACTCTGCATCTGCAATTTAAGCTGGTAGAGAAATGAAATCTTGACATTTGCAAGTCAGGGAAGACAGGAGGAAAGACAAACTACACTGATAGTTGGAAAATACATTACCATGGAAAAAAAGAGAAATTACTTCATTTTTTCATTAAATGGCTATTGTGAGGCGTTTCCTCTTCCACTACTATCACCCTGCAATAGTGGTAGAGACCTCTCTACACCTTCAATTGTTTCCACCCTCCATAAATGTAGTTTTATTCCAAGTTTGGCTTACAGTGTGAAATGCATCTCACCCTTCTTACAATTCCCCAGGATTTCAATATAAGTAATTATAGCCTTACAAAAGAGAACCGACAGCCTATGTGTTAGCTCAATATGTCAAAAAGACAGGCAGTAGAGCCTCTCAGTGGCTGTGGTACATCTACTGTCATCTCTCATCAGATGACGAACTGAAAAAGCAGCAAGTGACGGGTTTCCTTGTTCTATTATATGAGTCAAGGGCGTTCTTCTACAGAGTTTGTTTCTAAAGAGGTTGTTCTGTCTCTCAGACAAGACCTAGCTAGAAATGTGAGCTGGAAACATTGACTCGTAGCAGTACCACGTATTTTCAAACATGCAAACCTGGTGCTTCCTTTATCAAAGTGACTGACATTAAAATCAAGGTGAAATTCCAGGCACCACGAGTCACTCTTCAAGCTAGAAAAGAGTTGCGGGCAACAAACAGTCAACACCGCTTCTCCTCTTAGTCATAAAAGTTATAGATGCATTAATTAAAATAATCCCATTCATTTCGCTTGGAGATGCAAGATCACTG